CCTAAGGGGCACTCTTCGGCGATAAATCACTGCAACGAGTCGAGACATGCTATTTTTTACGTTATGCTTTAGTACACCTCCTTAGCTCTTTGTTGGCTAGCTTCATTAAGACTCCACTTTTGCGATGGGAATACCGGAACAATATGTAATCTTGTATTTTTTATTTGATACCAATTTAGCGTTTTCGGATTATCTGATTAATTTTATCGCCCGACGTTTCTTTGCAAGTTATGTGAGAACACGCGCCTACCGCAGCATTTAATAATTTAAGAAGAATCTTCTTAAATTTATACCTTGTATTAATAAACTTATTTATTTTATTAATAAACTTAGAATGTTGGTTATCAGCAAATTATCATTTAAAATAGGCTTTACTACTTAAAATAATGAAAGCTGTGGTTATATTTCTGCTAACATTAAATGGAAACTGTTTTCCAAGTACAAATCAGCAATTAGGCTTAAATTGAAATTATATAATTACTAGCCTATTAAAAGTCCAATACTACACTAATGAGGACACAAAGAGGCACTATGGAGGATATTTTCAATAGCAGCCACGCTTGTCTGCGTTAGCAGTTGTTTTATTATTTTGAGTTATCAGGAAGATGTTACTGCTCATTTTCTGCTTTTTTTCCCTTTGTCGCCTTTATACTGCACCCTCGGGATAATATGGGGTTATGAATTCTCTTACGCCGCCTTTAATTTGATAACACGTAAGTACGGCTGCGGTAAAACGTGAGGGAGGCCCATGTTACTTGTACGCTGTAATGAAAGTGTTTAAAGTACTGCAAACATTTGTGTTAAAACAAATTGCTATTTTGCGGGTGTGGGGTCCATGCTGATTTTAAAACCATCTCAATATTATTTATTTTTAAACCCTGTTTTGCTATTTAAAGGTCTTAAAAGCGAAATTTTAGACGTTTAAATAGCTAATAATATGGTTCTAGCACGAATGGGTCGGCTCGACCGGGGAAGGGTCACGCTCTCACAGAATACCAGCGTAAAATATCAACTTAATACTGCTATGTTTCATATGGTGAGTGTAGAGATCCCGAAACCCTTTTTTTACTGGAAACGAGGCATTCCATCTTAGTCCTTAGGGGTGACATCGCATCTGCGTTTTGATTCTTAATCGACGATAAATGTAGATGTCTGTGGGCCACAGCATTCACTTACCATCAGGTGGACTGTGTGCTCGTTTGTCACCCTTATTTTATAAAAAAACGGGATGGCGTTTATTTCATCAATAAAATATTTACTTTCATTTCACATGCACATTATGTTAGGTATAAATTAGGCTTAATGAAGTGAGGCCAGTATCTAGTGATTTGTGACGTTGATTACATCTTGCGTTTGTCAATAGACTTTGACGGCAAATTTTTTGTTCCATTCCTTAAACAAGTGTATATGTATGCAATAAAAATAAGTTTTAAAGTTTTTATACTTCTCGCTGAATATAGCAAAGTCAAGTGAGGGTTATTGACCGCGAAATTACAATATCCTGCGTACAGTTTACATCACTAGACCCACTAAACACATGTGTTATATTAGTCATACAGTGTTATATTAAAATATCTCGTAGTCGACGTGAGTTTTTTAACCAAGCTGCTCTCTTCAGAGTGCTAGAAGCTTGCTTTGATTTTTTTGCTATGTAATGAGCGTTGCGTTCCTTTTTTATTGAAGCGATTGTGGCAGGAAAAAAAATTATGCAAGCCTGACAGTTGGATAAAGAACTGGAAGGAAATATTGAATACGATTAACATAACTATGCATTACAGATAATAGGTATGATATATAAAAAGTAATATGCGTAGCGAGTAAATGTGTAACGCAATAGTTACTCAAATTTACGCGCTATGTGTACGCACATTTAATGAAAATAAATAGCTTCATCATCATCATCATCATTACAGTCCTTCACAAGTTCACTGCTTAACATAGGCTTCCCTCAAGGAATGCCACAAAGCTTGTTCCTGAGCCACCTGCATCCATCGACTTCATGCATGTCTTACTAAATCGTATAAAAATGAAAATAGCTTATCGTTAATTAAATTATAACATAATTTTCGATTTTTTCGCGTTTAATCTACTTTATTTTATATTTCATCTATGCAGGCTGTCCAGTGCGTCGGAAGGTCTGTGCGGAATCACCCCGTAACTATGTGTGATTGACCGCAAAACTTCGCTAAAAAGTAAAGCGAAAAAGAACTATAAGTAGGAAAGATAGAAGTTCACACTTCATCGCGGACAGTTTAGAGAGCCAATGCGCTCCTTCTAGCGAACCCATAGATTCCGCTTACCCTGCAGAGGTCGAAGCGGGGGTCGAGCGTAGGTCTGCCTCTCTTAGATCCTGTGAATGTTGACGAAGTCACAGAAACCACCAAAAAGCCACAAACCCTAAAAATAAATCAGAACCCGGCCCTGACGGCATTAGCAAAAGGGCGCTGAAATCCCTCTTAGCGTCACCCGTCTGCCTCCTAGTAGGTATTTCCAACGCTCTTCTCCCCGGCTGCACCTTCTCGGACACATGGAAAGAAGCAGACGTCAAAATAATCGCGAATCCAGGAAAACCGCGCAACCTAACCTTTAGTTACAGACACAGCCTCCTTAGCATACTGGGGAAAGCTTACGATCGTATAATATTGAATCGCCTCCGTAAACACGTCCTTACCAAAAAGCTTCTTCCGGACGAGCAGTTCGGCTTCCGACCCGATCACTCGTGCACTAATCAGATCCACCGCCTTACGGAGGGGCCTTCTCCCACTCAACGGGTAGCGATCAAATCCGTAACACCGCTGCCATCTTCTCCAACGCCGCCAAAACGTTCGACACGATGTGGCACGACGGCTTGCTTTACAAGCTGTTTAAACTTGCTCACTCACATCATCAGAGTCTTCTTTTCCAACCGATATTTCCGTTTTCGTATATAGGGAATGCGCTCCTGCAAGCGCCCTCTCAGGGCTGGAGTCCCTTAGGGCTCCGTTATCTCCCCGGTCCTCTTCACACTCTATACGAGTGACATCCCGAAGGACCCAGTTGTCAACACCGCTCTCTTTGCAGACGACACGGCACTTTACCTCATTCATTTCAGTAAGTAATTTCTCAAAACGACGCTTCAAAAAGTCGACAATCGCTTAGGCAAATGGTTTCGCCTATAGAGAATCGAAATGAACCCTGAAAAAAGTATAGCAATATATTTTCAAAGGAAACCCTCCCTCAATCGTCGGGACTTAAATCCGAAAAATTCTCTAGGCACGATCATCCTATTCATTCGTCACTAGTCGCCTCCACCTGCTAGTTTAAAGTAAGAGCAAACTATCCCTAAGACGCAAGATCCACATCTACTAAGCTCGCTTAAGACCTATCATGTCCTATGCTAGCGTCCCTGAGCGGTTCTCATCGCCCAGAATATCGAACAACACGAGTTAGTCGTCAGAGCTAGGGCCCGCCACCCCCTACTCGGACGACCGTTAGATAACTCAACAAGGGCATTGTATACTGTCATAGGAGTAATAGTTACTTTTTACAGCTCCTGAGTACTATAAAGCTGTAAAAGCCAAAAGGCTAACAGCATTAACATCATCAGAAACCAGATTCACACTTTACACTACGACTATACACCTGATGACACAGACATAGAAAATACTATGAACCCCTCCCCCCCTCCCTCCTTCCCCGCACCACGTACTTACCGTACATCCGCATGGCTGAACGGTTCCCGCCACCCCAACATCAACCAAAACGAATGTGCGAACGAAGAAAAGGAACCTCTGTCCGGATGGTGATAAGACTCTATTTGCTTTCTAAACGACGATTGACTTAACAACAAATCATCACCTTCGTAATTACAATTAGTCTTTTATACAGTTACCGGCCATTAGTCTGATGAGGCTTTAAAAGCCAAAAGGCTAACAGCACTTACATCACAGAACAAATTTAACTTTTACGTCAGGACATCTCAGTACCCGTAAAGTTCATGGGTACGGACACTCAAACTGTCGAGAACATGAAACTTTAAAAACTAAGGAGATTAAACGTGATGAAATTCGTAAAAATGGTTTCATTCAAGGTGTTTTATTGCATCAACTATTATAAAATATTTGACTGCTTCGTTGGTCTAGTGGTAGACTGCGGATCATAAGGATCATAAGGTTCGAAGGTGAGGGTACGAATCCCGGGTCGGGCTAAAAAAATTTAATTTCCATTAAGAAATTTCCGGTAGCTGCCCGGAGTCAATAGGTTGGCGGTGTCTCACCCCAATGCCTCTGAAAGCACGTAAAACCGTTGGTCCTGCTCCTGCGCATGATCTCTCTCCGGTCGTGTCAGTTTACCGTCCCATCGGACCATGAGAGTAAGGGAATAGAGAGTACACCTGTGCTTGTGCATACACTTGGGCACTATAATCCTGTCCTGCTTCAATGACTAGTCTCTGTTAAGGCTGGCCGCCGTGACTTAAATTCGGTCTGGAAGACATTATTATTATTATAAGGTAAGCGCTTAGTTGACGACACTGACACCAGACCTTGAGGATCTTAATTAGTGAAGTTCAAGAAAGGTTAAGTTTAAGAAATTTCTGTTAATAATAAATAGTTAAAGATACAAAGTTAGGTTGACAGATCCTCTCTCGGCTGGAGCTCCATAGTGTCTCAAAGTTTATTATGATTAAACGTATTAGGCGAACTAAAATAGCTTACACACGACGTCCGATGTAAGACCGTACAATCTCACTTTATTAAGTTGTAGAACTTCTTCCCTGCCAATGACCGTCTGGGTAAGTATCATCCTCCTACGTATACTGCAGTTCAAGCACCGCTACTTGGCGGTGCAAATACCGCCAAGTAGCGGTGCTTGAACTGCAGTATTCCGGTCTGAAGGGTGTACAATGGCATTATATGTAATTAGAGGCTGTGAGGCACTCGTTCATAGCCCTAAATATTTGTCACTATATTTTTATTAAAAAAAATTATCCCGTCACAATTATAACTTTTTTGCAAAATTAGGCGAGCTGTTCCTATTCTGGAACCTGTACAGCGCGCCTGTGCTCCTAGCTCTGGTGGCTGGCGAGGCGGCGGCCGTGATGGAGAACGTCACGGATGACGTCATCGTCGGCCGTTGCATTGCGGTGCTAAAGAGCATATTCGGTCACGCTGCCGTCCCGCAACCGAAGGAGTGCGTCGTTTCGAGGTAAGTAGTTGAGGTGCTTTTTTATGTAACGTTATTTAAATATCGGCATTCAATTGAACTTAACGGGTGTATTAGTCTCAGAATACAGCACATTTTTATTCCATTGTTTGAAAAAATAAAGGTTGTTAAGACTCAAACTCGTATTAATAGTGAAAGGCGATTTCTTCTGTGTCGTGGAGGTTTTGAAAACCAAATTGCACCCGGACTAATACTGACATCCTAAGCAATTGTTGTAAGGCCTTTAAATTATTTAGCGTGTGCAAAAATTGAACCGCAACTATCAGACAAAGAGCCCTGGTAGCTTATGGGCTAAACGCTTGCTGTGAATTTAACAAAAGGTGAGTACCGTGGTGTCGATATCCGCCGGCACTAATAGAGTTCTTAAATGCTATTTTAAGTGGCTGATTAACAACGTACTGTGAAAAAAAGGAAAAGAACTTGTGAATTTACCAAAAACATTGTGGCAGAGTGGTGAACACTTCCTTGTCTGAAATCTCTCAGAAATGAGAGAAGATTTTGCCCTGGAGTGGGACGTAAAGGTTATATTACTTTAACAGGCAACGGCGCCAAGGTCAAACGCTTAGTCGCAGTCTTCATTTTTTCTATAGATAACGCACCAGTTTTTCCAGATTTCTCAATTTATTTTAATTCTGTGTGTAGATGGCGCGCGGACCCGTTTGCACGCGGCTCGTACAGCTTCGTGGCGGTGGGCTCTTCGGGCACCGATTACGACCTACTAGCCGCACCTGTGCCCGGCCCGTCAGGGGACACCCGTCTCTTTTTCGCTGGTCAGTATTGTACCTATGGTAAAGTTGCGACAAAGGTATGGTGACAAAGGTGTGCCATCAAAAACATAACTTGTAAAAAAAACGCAACTCAGTTCTTCGCAAGAAAACACAATGTATCTCACAAGTAATACATATATTGTATTAAATTAGATTGTTTAGTGCGATTGCCAAGTCAATCTATTTATTTAAAACTCAAAAGATTTTTAATATTGATATGGTCACTATAAGATGTTGTTAGGTTAGCTAAGTAGTACGTAATAATTTAAGACAGAAGGACCCTTAAGTAGGGACTGAATAAATTAACCGACTTGGTATTACATGGATCTCACAACTTTTTACGGTAGAATAACTGAGTTGCGAGACGGGTTTTTTTTTACAAGTTATGTTTTTGATGGCGTCTCATTTCTTTTTGTAGATAGTCCTACTTTTTTTCCTTTCCGGTACCTTCTACTTCTTGAATACCAACAACGTACCTATCTACATTTATTATTCCGTTATATTACACATATACGCGTACACTGATTCATTCACTGCAAATGTAACTTTGTAATCCTATATTTGTAATTGTAATCCTATATATTTATATGGGATTACAAAGTTATTTATGCAGTTGATGTATCTATAACATTGAACCGAAATTGCAAAATATTTAGTTTTTCCTTGATTTATACACTAAACACCAATTGTATTCTAAATTTGAAGCTTCTATGTCTGCTAGAAGTGCCTTAGAGTTTTGATGATCGGTCAGTCAGTGAGTGACAAAATTAAGACTTACTTACTTTGACTATAGTTATAATTCTTAAACAACTGGTTCAACTTGAATGTATACAACGCTTGCTTAGTTACTGAAAATTCAAGTTTCTAGTTTTATCCACAACGAAGTTATAGGGGGTCGAATATGGCCTGAATTGCTTCGAGAAAAGGATGGTACGGCAGTGCCGCTTTTTTGCTCGACTTAGCGGGGGCACTGCCGTGCCTCCAGATTCTTAGATACACATAGCCCAGGAAGTAGAAAGGACTGTTTTTATAGAAGTTAGTGAGGATAATTAATTAGCAGTACTCCTCTACTTCTCTACTATTAGCAGAATTCACTTATCATCAGGTGATAAGTGAATTTTGTGACCCAGACACATATGCACATCTATCATTGATTAAGAATGAAAATGTAAATGCATTTTTAGCCCTAAAGTGTTACCTCACTCTGGTATTCTGTGTGAGCCAATCCGATTTCGGTCGAGCTCACCCACTCGTGCTGTAACCATTATACGCTTCGCTGCAGCGTGTCTCTACGAGATATTAAATGTTATACTGTATAATACCCATGAGTTCTCCCGCTCACTCTTTAATTCACATAGGGACAGGCATATTGAAGAGATGATTTTTTTGTTATATTTGAATCTTAGAAGACAAACGAAGCGTACAAAAATGTATACTAAAATGTCTTTCTTTAACTCTCTTAGAATTAAGAGAAGGTATTACGCCCTACAGTGGGACGTTTGCTATTTCTCACGTCATGATTACGAGAGCTTTAAGTTTAATCTCCCGCAATTACCCAGTTGTGTAGTATGTAATCCATTTGAAAAGACTGAGATGTTGTTTTAGACTATTAACGATGAACTACTCTTCAAGGTTTATTACGATCCCCTTTTTCTCTGATCATCATCGTCATCATTATAATTTTATTAATTTATTCATTACGGTCTATCAAAAGTTCACTGCCGAACTTCGATCAATAATATATTGATCGAAGCTGCCGAATTTAGAATTCTCCATAGATTACCTCATAGAAGGATTTTACCATAGTTACCATAGTTACCATAGTTACATGCTTAGCAAGCGGGTTGGCAATCTAAATTTTTAAAATTATTTTCAATTGTTATCAAGAAGATGCTACTGACAAGTCTTCATTTCCATCATTTCCCTCTGTCGCTTCTTACGGCATCCACGGGGTAATATGGGGTAGTGGGTACACTTACTTGCTTACTTACTTTACTGCGTCATCATCATCAACCTTTTCCAAATTCAAATTTTATTTGCTGGACATGGTATCTCGTTGTATTGAGGGTTTTCTAGCACTAGACATCTTCGATGTTGCTGGGTACTTACGTCTGGCATAAATTTTATATTTATTTAACATCATTACAATTCAATTTATTGTGTCTCTGGTTTTTTTGTATATTGTTAAAATTATATCATTATCTAAAAATCTAATTTAGTTTAGAAAATTAAGTTAATTCAATGGATGACTTAAATAAAATTAATACATCTCTTTTTATTAAGTTTCGACAAAATATCTGTCGTCATTTTGTGTGTATACTTGTGATCCTTTTCGATCACCAAAGTTAAAAGTTAAATTAAAAGTAAAATAATTATAAAGTTAGAGTGGCAGATCTTTCCTTGAGTAGTTGGTGTTTAGAAGGACGGTTGTTGACGTTCTGCCGATTATCAATTTGCAATTAAAAAAGTAAATTTAAATACACGCGACGCACGGCTAAAAGTAAATTGCAACGTTTACTAAATATAAATGTGTAACCATACAATATTATTTTTAAACATAAAGTTGAGGTGACAAACCAACTTACAGTCTGCCTACTAAGTGATATAGAGTTCACAACAAGAAGGCAACAGATGCGTTGTCTTGTCTGAGGACTACGGTAGAATGCCACATAACCTGTAACTATACTGGCTTTCTATAAAACCTTTAAAAATATTTAATAATATTAGCTTGCTATTGAAAATATTACGTTTTTAACACCAGACTGAAAATGTGTTGATTAAAAATAGAGGTGGAAATAATATTATTTACGATTTCGCTATTTGTTGAACATTGATGAAAAAACAAGTATGAAGGATATAAATAACATTTTCCTCAAACGCTTCCGTATTACTTTCGATAAGGAAAAAACGCCGTGTAAGCTCATAAAAAGTTATGTGAAGTATCTTAAATCTATGGTAATGTTAGAATTGATTTTGTTACTATTCGTACTTTTAGCTTTTGGAGTTAACTTTTAACCTTTTTAACAGTGATTAAAACTACTTTTACGAATTTTGTCGCGTTTTATTTATTTTATTTTTAATGCCCGACGTTTCGGGTGCTTTCCAGCACCCATGGTCACGGGATAAAATCCGTAAAAGTAGTTTTAATCAATGTATAGTGTTCGCGTAAATATAAGAAATCTTTTTAGCAGTGTTAGAGCCACGCGGCAGCTTTGGCTGGCACACGGATGAGCCGGTTCGAACCGGGGAAGTACCACGACCTCACAGAATACCAGCTCAAAGTAAAAGCTTTGCTTCTGCTTTTCGCTTGGTTAGTGGCGAAATTTCAAAATAACAGCCTATCCCACGAGGGTACCAGCACCCCTAGTAATGGAGAATCCCTCACTGAGCATCCACGCGCAAGCTACCCTTATGTTTCTGAGCGTGGGTGCTCAGTCTGCCCCGAATATTATGGGAGAGAGAGGGGGCAGAAATCCTACTCACTACTAACACTGCACAGGGCAAACATAGCGATAAAACTATGGCGACCCCTGCCACGCTAGCCGTGGACTTCTGCAACATCAATGAACTTCACTTAAACCTTTATGTCGTCCACTACCATCTGGAGAAGACGAAGCCAGCCTTGCTTATTTTGACCGAGACGCAGGTGCGCCCTACAGTTGTTACTTTGTACCTGTTCTACCCGGGGTACGAATTAGAACATTTATTTGTGCCTGGGGCTGGAGTTTGCGTATACGTCAGAGAAGGTATCTGTTCTTTTCTCGACGCCTCGACAGTCTTGAAGGGACCTGTCCATCCTTTGACTGCGTGTACCATCCCCACGTATACTGGTGCCTCTATAGATCCTAATAATGCCGAAACGTACCGACTAATCGACCACGTCCAAATAGCTACAGATTCCTTGCTATAACAGATCCCACCCGGAGAGATCGTGATCCTTGGCGATTTTAACGCCCACCACGCCGAACGGCTTGGTTCACGTTTAACCGATCATGCGGAGAGATCTGTATATGACTTTGTCTTGACATGTAGTCTGACACAACTAGTTACTTCACCTACGCGGATTCCAGATTTAGAAGATCATACACCTTCCCTATTGGACCTTCTGCTGATCTCTCATCCGGACTGATATCTGGTTTCCGTCGACGCCCCTCTCGGCTCTTCGGATCAGGAGTGTGGTGCCACTGTCACTCCCTTTGCGTATGCGTTCTGCAGGTGTCCGCCATGTTTGGCGTTACAGGTCGGTGGATTGAGACGGAATGCGGTCTTTCTTTGCAACCTACCCTTAACAGCAAGTTTGCTTTTCGAACAATTTATTCCATCATCTATGGTACCCATTGGAGGCAGATCTCAACCTTGGTTTGATCGCTCCTGTAAGACTGCAGTACGCAGTGAGCAGGAATGTCATCACGCCTGGGCTGACGCTTCGGCGGCTCGGTAAACACCAGCAAGCTTGAAAATAAGTATAACTTTGCCGCTATGTCCTTGAAAAGAGTTATTGCCAAGGCAAAGTATAAGCACATTGGCAGAATTGGTGAGAAATTAGTGCGCCTTCCTTCGGGAACCCATGCATTCTGATCTCTTGTCAAGGCATCTTTGCACAGGCTATCTCTGCACAAGGAAGATACCCTGGCCCACACCACAAAAGAAAAAGCCGATCTTTTAGGCTCTCTTTTTGCATCCAACTCGACTAAAGAGAGATGACGGGGGGAAAACACCGCCGACTATCCCCGTGTTGTGAGTGCTCTATGCCTGATATGCGAATCACACAGTGCTGTGTACGTAAAGAACTCCTCTCCCTGGATATCCACAAGTCGAGTATGCTTGACGGAATCCCCCAATTGTGTTCACAACGTGAGTTGGCATATAAAGGATATTAAAATTATCTCATAACACTATCACTACCTGATTTTTATCTTACTCACTATCACTCCACTCATAATTATCATAATCATAAACTCTCACGCCCGTCGCTAAGAGGACTTCGGCTGATTCTAAGTATTTCCATTTTAGCATGACACCTCCCACAGTTCTCCCGGTGTACCATCCATAGTTAAACGCCCACCACATTCAGCTCGACGGATTACTTGCTCGACGACGTGCTCTTAATTTGACCTTCAATGTATATCCCCAATTTGGTCAATCAACTTCCGCCTAGGGTGACCCTGGCGACTCCGCCACTCACTTCTGCACCATTGATTAGCTCTTTCTTCGTGTTTCACTCTCTGAAAAAACTGTTTCTTAAACCTGGTTACAACGTCTAAAATTAAATTATGTAAATTAATGGATCTACTTAAAATAAAAATATTGAGTGTACTAAATTATGTTCAGTAAGTTACCTAACTTTGTGGTGGCGACGTTTCGCTTCCCATAACCAAACATCGAATGATGGAATAACTCTAAAGATCTTGCGAAGTACCTACGATAGCCTAGATGAAACAGATGAATGAACAGTGGTAGAGCCACGCGACAGCTTTGCTGTTGCACGTATGGGCCGGCTCAAACCGGGGTGGTACCACGACCTCACAGAATAGCGGCGTGAAGTGGAAGCTCTGCTTCCGCGTTTCGTCTGGTGAGTGCAGGTGGCCGGAGTCCCAAATCCCCCTCCCCTCCCATCAACATGGTAGCGGAATTAAATGTTAAACTACCCCAGGAGGGTACCAGCACCCCTGCAGAATCCCTCGCTGAGCATCCACTACCAAGTTACTTCACTGCTCAGGTGCTCAGGCTGCCCCGCGTATTCTGGGGGGGGGGGCAAAATTCCGCTCAAGACTACAACTGCTCGGGGCAAACGGAGCAACAAGACCAAGGCGACCCCTGCCACGCTATCCGTGAATTTCTGCAATATCAGGGGACTTCACACTAAACTTAACGCCGTCCACTACCATCTCGAGATAGCGAGGCCGGCTCTGCTCTTTCTTACCGAGACGCAGGTGTCCTCTCCGGCTGATGTCTCGTATTTCTCCTGCCTGGGGTACAAACTGGAACACTCCTTTGTGCCTCGGGCTGGAGTTTGCGTTTACGTCAGAGAGGACATCTGTTCTCGACGCCTCGGCAGTCTTGAAGGTTCGGACCCGTCCATCCTTTGGCTCTTCTATAAAAAAAGAAAAAAAAAGATGATAAATACGCGAACCTTTGGCGAAGAGAAGCGTCAAAGGTGCGGCACATATGGGCACTTACCCATGTTGACTCAACTCAGTGTTTTTTATATTTTTGTTTTATTATTTTCATACATACATATTTCTGCTGAATTGTGTAGGCGTTTTAATTGCGCATGGATAAACATCCGAACCCGAAACAGTTATTTCTGGGCCAAAAATATAATCTATTGCAGCAATCGAGCTCGCAGTCTACCGAGTCGCAACGATAGGCTAGCGGTCAAGCCATCAAGGTTGTGTGCAACTATCTCGCGAAATGTCAATTTGACAGTTTTAACGCAGCATCTTTTTGTGATACAGGTGAGCACACGATGCGCAACTACCCGGCAACAGTGCACGGCGCGTTTCTATCGGGGCTGCGCGAGGCGGGCCGCCTAGCCGACCTGCTGCTGCCGCCTACACACATCTCCGCCGCCAGCGTCGCCGCCGCCACTGCCACTGCTGCCAGCGCTGCCAACGCTGCCAACGTTGCCAACCACAATCCGTAGAAAAATATATAAAGATGCTCACACACGCAAACACCGCTCAATATACCGATAATGATGACATCATCGCTGGCAACATCATTCTCTCACCAATATGTCAGTAGGAATGCAAAATTACCCTAATCAGCACGCCCCGTAATTACACACGATTAGCTAGCAATTACACATACATACACGATTCAGGACACAACCCTCAGGTACACACACGCGCGTAGAATTCACGAAGCTAACACACAGGTATAGTACCTACACAAGTAGTAGATATCAGTACCGATTTCAGTACGGGATTAACACCGAATTTTCGTAGCGTGTGATTCTACTTCTTTATTTTTTTTACTTTTCTTCAAATAATTCTTTAAATATTATATTAGTTATACGAGTAACACAGGTCATTCCACATTGAACCTTTGGTGAAGTTGTCATTTATACTTCTCATCGCCGACGCCGACACTTCTTCTATGTTCGCCATTTTCGAATTGCCGCCCAATAAAGGACTTCACCTAACTTCATCGCTGGCAGTTACCCGCATCCATACACATGTAAGTTTGTTCTGGGTATCTCAATACTACCACTGGAAGCGGTCCAAGATCGATTTTTCGGTGAGACTCACCATATCTCATACATTTCCGTCTTGAACGAATTAACCACTGGACCCGACATATAAGCGGACGTGCCTATACCGGTCTTGTCAGTAACCAGGAAATTCTAGCCTTGGTCGTTTGTTTTTGCGTCAGTCTCAAGCACTTACTTGTCAACAAAATATCTCCTAAAAATGACTAAATGTTCAGTTAAATGGTGTAAAAACTATAGTGGCAAAAGCAGCACTATTTCTTTTCACTTGTAAGTACATTATTTTATTACATTTATTGTTATTTATCACAAAATTTAATCAAATGTAAAATAAAATTTTGTATTATCCAACTGTGTTAAATATAGTTGATATTTCTATGTATTGTTGACATCTGACAACCATCACAAAATGGCTGGAGTATACCATTTAGAACGAATGACTAAAACTATGGAGTGAGTCTATTTGACATTGACTAGTGCTTGACCATGACGAAAAATATACCTGTCGATATTTGACGATATGACCGAATGAACGATGATGTTATTTGTACAATACAATAACACTTAAAATACTTATATAACAGTATCGTACAATCTGATGTCATTAAATTTATAATAATAATTTTTATAATTAAATAAAAATATTATAAATGCATATATAATTTTTGCATTAGTATCTGTACTTAAAATATTTGAACACATAAATTACACGAATTTTCAGATTTCCCAGTGACCCTTTTGGATTCCGATATAAACACAGCGCCATATTCAGTGTACATTTCTATACTGCCTGTTTTAATACACAGAAACAGAAAATGACACCAGTGAAGTCAGTGTCATTGCCTATAAAGACGGGGGAAAACTGAGACTTCCCTCAAGTGATACCATAGCTATTTGTTAGCACTGCGAACTCGAACTTAGGAAGGGTGTTCAAAATAAAAGATTACACAACAGACTTTCTCCTGCCGAAAGTAACAGAAACATTGCTGCAACTTTCGTTGTACGAAAACATTCATTTCCATAAATTTGAAAACGATGACGTGAATCACGTCGAAGAATTAACGAAAGCCGTTGCTGAAAAGTATTTAAATACATATTAGAATTGCTTATATAAGAAAACAAGCGAACAAAACAAATTCTAATAAACACATTTTAAGAAAGATGATACATAATAAAAGTCAGTAAACTTATTTAAATAATTAAAACTTAACAAAAAATTTGACGTTCAGCATTACTATAATTGAATTAAAAGTCCATAACAATGTCCTGATTCTTTTATTTTAATCAAAATTTAAATACCGGAAGCTTACCTCACCTTCATTATCCCTTAATTTTCTTTGTCTTACAGCTTATTTACGATACGCCTTTTCTTTCTCCTTTGTTCATCGATATATTTTATTGACTACGATCAAGCACTAGAAATAGAGTGAACTTCTACGAATTTCGTATCTGTGTTTATATTAACGTAATAAAATCTTTGTGTGCGTTATTCTCCACTTGGTTGAACGAGTTTTCGTACATTTGTGTTTTATGTCGGGTCTAGTGGTTAATTCGTTCAAGATTTCCGTAGTACTTGCCCAATGTATAACTGGCCAATCAATTAAACATTTTGGGCAGTTGGCTGTGAATCCCAGCTGAAGCAAATGTTTGACAAAAGCTTATAAGGTTTCGAGTCTCGTATGTGTTGTTGGTGTCCTCGGGCTACACACACGGCTTATTCTGTTGTATAGTACTTTTACTGTTTTAAACCACGACTTTTTCACTTAAAAATGAGGTATAATATTTGATAGATTTCATAGCGGGGAAGTTAATTTGTTCGGAAAATGTAATGGTTAATGTTTTTTTCTGTACTGTTAGTTATATTATATAATATAATTAAATTAAAAATAAATAAATCAAAACACAGATATTGATAAAAGTAGAATAATTAAAAGAGTTAAAAATGTGCAAAATCTTAAACAGCAAACCACTGAGGCATTGTTTTATGTATTAATATAGTACTCTAAAAATTGATAAACTTTTATTTAAAACTAAATTCTTAATTTAATGACATTGTTTAAGAAAAAACTTCACCTCAGTGTCAACTAGCAACATCTAATGGGCGGAAGATTACTAGCCCTCATTAACTTGAATAGCTACGTAATTTTTTTCTACTTTCGGGAGTCTTTTGTCTATATTCCATTTGAAGTTAATTTTTAGTATTTAAAAAGATCTAATAAATTGGTTATTTGAATATAATAAGTAATAACTGTCACGGAGTTACTCGATATTTTCATTTGTTTTTATAGAAGAGGTTGCAAACGAGCACGCGGCTCACCTGATAGAAAGTGACTACCGCCGCACATGAACAACTGCAACACCAAGGTAATTGCAGATGCGTTACAATTTATATGGAAATTTTTATGTAAAGAACTCGCTGACTACAGCGTAAACTATTATAACCATTTTTGATATAGTGTAAGCGATTACAGCGTAAAACAGACAAGTAAAGCAGATCTCTGCGCGACGTAATCTACTGTCGATCATATTATAACGGTATAATATTTTCTTTTGCCTACAGATATAATAGATATAGATGTTTCTTTGCAGGGTAGTCTCCCTAATTATATTTTAAGTTTGGCAGGTGATTTTGCAACCATTAATTATCAAAAAAAGAATGACTAACATATGTTCTAAGCGGCATAAACTTCTATCGAAAGTATTGTGTGATTAACAGTGTAAGTTCCTCTTAAAAAGAATAGATGTAGGTAATTAATTGAAGGCTAGTTCACCAAATCATTTTAAGTTCGCTAGAGGAATTGGCAAACGTAACGACCATATTTCGTTTAACAAATTTTATTTGTAGTCAATGAAGGCACCACCGCGAATTTTAATCGTCTAATGCCACCTTTTATATTGCCAGTTAACATCAAAACCGATTTATTTAATTAAAGGTCTTTTAATTGTAAGGTTATAAAATGTTTATTATTATATCAATAATAACTCAGTACATAAATTTATTTTGTGACAGACCTTATGACTTATTTATCACACTTATTTTTTCTTTTACCATGTACATTTTTATATAGTTTGAAGTTCTTTTGAAATAACAAAATTTTTAAGACTGGAATGTTTACGTAACAAGTATTTAAATTAAAGTGCAACGCTACCATTACTTTGCTGAGTCAAGAAACGGTAGGAACTAATAACACATTTTGATGCTTCCATCATCTAAGTAGCGTAACACTATGTACCATGGATACGCTACCGTGAGCTCCAGGATTCCATTCTTACTCTTGATAATTAATTACTTCCTTTCGGTTTATTTAATTGATACCTAATATGATATTTAATGATTATTTTATTTCAAATTTTAAGTATTAGTGGTGAGCTCAATATTTTCAAAACTGTTTTATGAGAAATGAAATTTAAAAATGTTATAGTTTAAATTACCATCGACAATGTTTTAGGGAGTGTAAGGCTCAAAATCGCGGATTTTTGCCTAGCATAATTGTAGAACCGATAATGTTTCTATTTGTGCATCCTAACCTTAGTCTAGGTACGAGGTGTACGGTACCTACATCATACTAGGCAATTGGCATTTCGTAACTGACGACATCTAACACTTGATCACTATAAATATCGTAATTGAATTTTGTAAACAGAATTTTCTGTCTAACTCGCACAACTCTTACATATTAACTCTTAAATATCTTTGTATTTATATTTTAACCTTGGTCGTCCCACGATGTTTGAACATTGTTCATAAACAAATATTGGAACAATATGTATTTTTAATCGATAACTGTTGTTCATATTTAGAATACCTATTTTCCTTTAAATAATTCACGCTTTATCCGATATCGTACGGTCGCCAGTACTAAATAATGGCGATAAAAAAGGCTATCTGCATTCCGCATCGAGTTGCAATAATGGTTCACTTCCTCGAGCATGACTCTACTCGTGTTGATATCGTAAGTCGTGCTTTGCTCCTCTCACACCTTATCTTAAAAATGATTTGTGACCGATGGCATTGGTTTAAAGTTGCTTATTTTATTTTTGTATAAAATAATTTACTACAGTAGGTTAACACTAAAATTTGGATTTGGTTTAGAATCTTTGTTCGTTTTTCCGTTAATAGTCGTGTAAATGGGTATGTGTGGCCCAACAGCCTGAAAGACGGCAATGTCGAAGATATAAGACAGTCAACAATATTACCGAGATTAAAATTCAAATTTATTAGTTATAAAAATATTAGCTAAAATCCTGGTCTTACGACTTATTAGGAATAAACTCGAACCACTAAACCGCTTATTCTTAACGTTAATTAAACATTTACAAATAATAAAATCGTTGCAGAAAGTCCGCATTTTGAATTAGAATATTATACTAAAATGGATTTGGTTTTAACCCTTTTAATATTAAAAATAAAATGACTACATAACTTATATTTT